ATGTAAAGTCTTCTTTTCGCTTTATTAAGCAACATGAAATTAAATATATGGGGTGTAGATGTACAATGCCACACAGTCTTACCAAACGTTGCAGTCGAGTGATTAGCAGTTATGCGTGTTATTCTGGACGCTCTGTGTTCCAACCAAAATACTGAAATCTACATTGATTAACAATAACTTTTAAGATTACGTGCTTCTGGGATGTGACGCCATATAGTTTGGTAGGCAATCAGGCCCTGACTATCACATCTCAGAAGACCGCAATCTTCATATTCATCACCATGAGAAATATAACTGCTAAAACAATAACTCAATTTATATATGGAGTTAGACTTCCTGTAAAAGCTTTGGACAAGACATGTCATGTGACAGACGTAAAATACAGGATTCCTCTTCAGACACAAACCAAATGAGTTCTTTCGTCAGAAGCCTTGGATTCGTTGAAGTTGTGTAGGTTAAGGCTAATTCTGCGATCCAGAATGTATCTTAAATCTTTATGTGCAATAATGATTACCTGAGTTGTCTGGCAATGAGCAAATACTGAAAAACTCCTCGTCTCNAAATTGAACATTTTATATCATAACGGGAAGACAGATATACAAAAGCGCAATCCAATCAGTATGATAATATTACACGTTCATTTTTACGCACTTTAGTGCAAATTTCATTAAAATTGGCTAATTATTAGCGGTTTTATGATAATTATAAAAACATGCTGCACTTTAGGCATTTAAATTGAGAAAACTCCTCCGTCCGTGCACAAGTTAGGCCTTTAAACGTGCCACATCAGAGAAGGGTTAAGGAACAAGTGTTGTCGTTCCACATGCGGGGTTTCTGAAATTAAGTAGATTTCGATTACATGTGGTATTTCAGGGTCTGCACTAGAACTGTGCGACATATTTAATTTTTGCCCTTACCTGTCCGCATATTTCGTACTTTATTCGAAGGTCAAACCGAACTTTATTAATCTAAAAAGAAATCCTCTTAAAATACCGTACAAAACATAACATAGACTTGGATCTCATTTAATGGGAGCATTTTTTTATTTAACTCATATTTCTCTCATTCCTTCCATGTACATTATGTGGTATATAGTGTACTGGTGAAATGTCCGTTTAAAAATTAAAGGGGAAAATCTGACAATTTCCACTTTAGCTACGATTTCTAGTAGATACGTATTCCACTGAAACACTGTTATACATTATAGTCATAGGTGGGACACGCAGAAATCTCCATTACACTGACTGTAAACGTTACGTAACTTTTCTCGGCAATGGTCGAGACTGAATATGACTGAGGTGCAGTAAAAGTGCGTTTCCCTTTATGTCCCGTTTATTGCTGTCATTTTATGATCATGTTCTGTTTTCCATCATTGATAATATCCCTTGCACCTCGCTCGCGCTCAAGCACGTACACACACTCAGTCACAAACTGCAATATGTTATACATTCGTCAATGACCCTCTTCTTCAGTTTCTTAATCTTTTTTACACAGACGGTAGGACTCCTTGAACGAGTGATCAGCCTATCATAAAGCGGCTACCTGAACACAGGACAGCACAGACACAGAATAGACGCACACACAGACATCCATGCACTGAGTGGGATTGGAACCCACGATCCCAGCGTTCTAGCGGGGAAAGACAATTCATGCCATAGACCGCGCGGCCACTGTGATCGACCATTATGTTGTACATAGTAGCATATTCACGTCTCACAATTTTGTGGTCTTCCACGGTGTCTTACAGGGATAGCTTTACCTTTTATATACATATATATTTATTTATGAAACTAATGCAAATATGCAAGCCCACGTAATTATGTAGTTAATGACAGTACATCATTGACTTTATACGTGCTACAATACAGCTAGAAAGTCATACGCGTTCTGTTCCTCTGGTAGCTCAGTTGGTAGAGCGGTGGACTGTAGTAGGCAGTTAAGTACTTAGTAGCAATATTGCAATAGTAATCCATAGGTCGCTGGTTCAAATCCGGCCCGGAGGAAATTTTTTTTTATTGTGTGCTATTTATATTTGTCACTTCGTGTGGTAAGTAATTTGGTTTACAGTTGCGATTGAGAGCAATGCATCTAATTTAGCGTTGTATATATCCTGACACTTATTTTTGTATTGCAAAATATGACGCCCTTAATTGCTACCATCTATCAAAATTTCGGATTTGAACCTTCACCCTAACCAAGAGGGCAGAGGACGGCCGCGCCATAGCTCAAGCGGTTAGTCGCTGGCTTCCCACCGCGGCGGCCCAGGTTCGAGCCCGGGTCTGGTCAAGTGGGATTTGTGGTGGACAAAGTGGCACTGGGGCAGGTTATCTCCGAGTACTTCTATTTGCCGTGCCAATCTTCATTCCACCAAATTTTCCATCATCATAATCACCCGGGGCAGGTACAATAGGCCATTCAGTGGCCTCCGTGACGAGTGGACCCAGCTGGACTCCAGCCCCCACTAAGCGAATTAAAAAAAAGTGAGTAAGTAAGCCTCTGTAGGAATGTTGGGGGTGGGGGGAGCGTAGGTGTTGATAAAAATTCCATTGATGACACTGGAAAGTGGTGAAGGGAAAGTTGTCGCTGTGCTTACTTAAGCGCTACCCAATGAAGACGTATGGGGGCAGTGGCAGTTTAGTCCCACATATTCCTAACTTCGACACTGGACTATACTCCAGGGGAAAGAGCCCCCAGTACTCATTTGATAAGAGAATGGATGCGCCACGGAGCTGTTCTGACGCTGTAGAGGAGGGAACCATCTTTCTCTAGCAAATGAACCCCTTCTTCAGTCATCCCGCCTGTCGAGTCCCGGTGAGGTGGATTTTTTTCACTTGACCTAATCCAGCCGCACTATGGCCCTGGGGTCGAATCAGCCTCTAACAGAAATGAGTACCAGGAATCTTCTTAGGGGTGAAGAGAGGCCAGTGCGTAAGGCTGACAACCTTACCGCCATCTGTGAGCCGATTATCTAGAGAAAATATGGGAGCCTCAACCTCTCACAACCCTATGGGACTACACGGCCTGTTACAGGGATAGCTTTACCTTTACTCTTGTCACTTCCTCTCTCTTAGGGAAAGTATTCTCATTGGTGCTTTTATCTTAGACACGACCAGTCTGGGTCTGTGTTCTGACCGAGTGAATTTTGAGTCACTGCTGTGAAGTACTATATTTATATCAACATCAACCAATTTCTGCTAGCAGATATTAGCATGAATTCACAGTTCGTTTCTTTTTCTTTAGTTTATAGATAATAGTTCTATCCAGACAGCAGGAAGTCTGGATCAGCCTTCGAACCCATAAGACATCAACATACACAAGTGACCTGACCGTTATCAATATAAAGAGGCACGCTGTTGAGATTGCGGAATGGAATTTCTTTTCCGACGAAATTCAGTGATGTTCTTTAAATTCGTTTTATCTCGCTTCCCATCTACAAGGACAAGTATCCCGGCCATGCAAGGATAATCGCGACCTCATTCGAGATCTGGTCAGCCCATTTCTGCTACCAGTTGTACAAAGCGCCAGCAATATGCTCGTAAACAGTCGGTGGTAAATCCCACATACATAAACAAATTTTATTATTTATACATGTACATAATTTTTTGTCTCATACATTTTATAAGACGGCTTTCCTGTGAATATTTTTAAGCACTCTGTAATCTAATATTTAAAAAGTCTAGAATCTTTTTTTGTGTGTAAAATACGAGTAAAAATAAGCTTTAAATTCTGATCCATTTTTCCTCCAGTTAGGGTCTTGCAAACGAAGGATTTCTGAATACAACTTGAGCATTACGTGCCAATATTATCAACTCTGGAATTCCTTTACATTTTATATAATGGAAAGAGTTTTTTTTTTTGGCTGTTTTCTCACTGGGGGACATAAATACAGAGGCCTGGTTCTTCAGGTTGGGGGTTGGACGCAAGGCTGACGACCTTGCTCTGTAAAAAAAAATAATGTTGCGAATTCCAAAAAAGTGAAATCCGGACGGTCTAAGACAAATCTGGCAGAATCTTCAAAGGAAAACTATGGCTCAAAAAGGGCTCTTTTTCAGAATGATGATGATAATAATGATTACATTGTTCTTGGATGTCACTCCGTGGAATTTAGTAGATATAACGTCTTCGATGAGCCTGTTGCCTACATCTTCAATGGGTAAGAGGAATTTGAATCAGATGTTGCGTAGAGCAGCCTCTCCATAGGGCATCAATTAATGATATTTTCTTTATATTCCTAAAGCCGTGAATATTAAGATGGCAGTATTGATACGTGACCCCACACAGTCTGGTACACTGGGACTCACATTTCAGAGGAATTTGTTTAATCAGCTGGAGTCAGCAGATTCATCCCAAATGTGCATACCTATCTACTAGACTACACGGCGTCACATCCCATAGACCGAACAGACTTGTCTCAAGGTCACGCTCTAGACTTGTATTCGGTTCGAATCTCGTTCGCGATATCGACTGTCCTGATTAAGGTTTTTCGTGGTTTTCCTCGTTCTCTCGAGACAAATGCCGGGGTGTTGCCAGGATTAGGCCACAACATACCTACATATATTGTCAATTTAATTTTAATAATTTTAATTTTAACTTTAATTTGACATTAACTGTATTCATAACGATTTATCCAGTCTCAGACCAATTGCTTATCATGTAGTACATAACCATGAGTTTCTGGTTACCAGCCTGATATTGTATAGTGTATTGACAACCCATAGTTCAGCGCCTTAACACTAACCGACACCTGATGATGACCCAATAAGAGTCGAAACATGTAGTGCCTTTAAGATTTATGACTTAGATGTAAGCATTCATTTGTATACTTCAAGAATTGTTGTGTTGACGGAAAAAATAAATACTGTATTTTATGTAACGGACGTTTTATCAACTGGTGAATGCTGTTAGTGCTGACTGGGTTACGATTATCTACAGTGAAGGAAATGGTAGTGCCCTAAAGAAACTCCGTGGTTTTAGTCCGCAAGCGAACTATACCGACCAAGCGACCGCCGCTTGTCGGCGAAGTTACTGCCAACATTTTCGGATAGAGGGTGTCACGTGGTCAGCACAACGGTTCCCCACGGCCGTCAATTTCTGTTTTATAGACCGGAGCCGCTATTTCCTTGAAATAGCTGCTCAATTATTCCCACGAGGCTGAGTGGACGCCGTTCCACACTCACTACTTCCCAGAAAATCTGGTAGCGCCCAGAATCGAACCCGGACCTCTGGATCTGTAGCCAGGAATTCTGACCACTAGAACACAGAGCCCATTTAATGCTCATTTCCGAAATGTTTATGGGGCGAGTGAGGAAAATAATGAATATCTCCTTTAGAAAAGCCCGTGAACCGAATGAGGTACCTCTAGAAAGCACGTAAGACGCATTACATGTTACGATTTGATATTTATCTTGGATTAGTCCCAAGCCTTGAGGCTGAGCGTGTGCCTTGATCGCTACTCCATCTGTGTTGAGAAGAGTGTCCGCATTGTGCATCTCTGCCGGCTGCTGACCATATTAACTTGCGTCAGCAAGGCGTGTGGACTAGTTCGCAGAAGAATAAGAAGAGGTATGGAGGTTAGGGTGGCTGTGTTCTTCGTGATATCAGTTCTTGTTTCCTGCGCCTCTGCAGCCTGGATTGACAGGTAAAACCCCCATCCATGTCGTTGGTGTTCGATTAAACTTTATAGCTCGAGGTCGGATTGTGGCACGCAGATCGTAAATATTAACTGGGAAATGAAATTCGAACAGTGGAGATGAGAAACAAACACAATATTTTAGTTGTAAAACCTGAAGGGAAGAGACATAGGCATAAGGGAGGATGATACTAAAGCGAATCTTAAAGAAATAGGATGTGAGAGACATGTAAAATAAATGCATATTTTGAGCATTCGTTCCAGTGCCAGTTATGAATGATCATACACGTACCTAATTATTTAGTTTATTTAAATACACTGTCAGTATCTCAGGTTATATAACGTTGAATGCTCGGGTGATAGTGAATGATGAGTTAGAAATGACGTGGAAGGAAACGGCCGTGGCCTAATTTAAAGCGTTATCCCGGAATATTCCAGGAGTGGCTGAGGAAACCTCAGTCATGTTGGCCAATGTCCTTGTCCAGATATGAAATCAGGACCTGCCGAAACAGAGGGATAATCACTCGATCACAGCGTTCTGTTACACGGCGTCATAGCCCAGAAGACCACAATATGATTCGAACCGAGTGACTCCCGAATACAAGTCAGATTCCTTACCGTTTGAGTCAACTTGACTGTCATTCTGATCGAAGGTTTAATGGCGTCTGTGATGTGTTGGAGCATGTGGGTTGAACAGTCTGGCTGTAAGAACTAAATCAGAGATGGCCAGAAGCTGCAAAAGTTATTAAAGGTATAATTAACAATTTCGAGGAGCCGTGATAGCTAACCTAGTATTTTCTTTAAATTCGCTTAGTGGGGGTGGAGTCCAACTGGGTCCATTCGGCACGGCGGCCACTGATTGGCCTATTATAGCCTGCCCCGGGCGATTATGATTGAGAATTTGGTAGGAATGAAGATTGGTAGGGGAAACCGAAGTACTCTGAGAAAACCCGCCCCAGTGCCACTTTGTCCACGACACATCCCACTTGACCAGACCCGGTATCGAACCCGGGCCGCCGCGGAGGGAAGCCAGCGACTAACCGCTTGAGCTATGGCCGGCCCCAGCTAACCTAGTATAGTAAGCAACTATGGAATGTACATCCGAGGCAAGGGATTTTTCACCAGGTCCAGACCGGCTATGGGGCCCACTTGCTCTTGTATCCAATGGGCGCCGGGTTGTATTTTATCACTGACAAATAAGCCGGAGCGTCAAACTACTTACATCCGTATAGTGCTGGGAGCTGTAGAGCCTACCTGCATTCCTTCATATGTGTTCATAGCACGGTGCTTTGTGCAGGGACACTTTCTTTTAATTCGCATATTGAGAGGTGTAGTCCAACTGGGTCCACTCGGCACGGCGGCCACTGATTGGCCTATTGTACATGCCCCGGGTGATTATGGTGATGAAGTATTTGTGGATGAATATTGGCAGGGGAAACCGAAGTACTTCGAGAAAACCTACCCAAGCACCACTTGGTCCCCCACAAATCCCACTTGACCAGACCCGGGCCGCCGCGGTGCGAAGCCAGCGACTAACCGCTTGAGCTTTGGCGCGGCCTAGGGACACCTTTACGCACACGTTTATATTTTGATGTCCCCAGCCTGACATGACTTGAATTTTCAAGATGCGTCAAATAGCAACTGTAGGCGTATATGCCCAACATTTCAGCAAGGGTCTGGAACAAGTTTTATAAGTAGGAGGCAGAGTAGAACATCTCATAAACTTTCGCGTATTTTCCACCAATTTCTTCTCGCACTTTCAAATGTCGAATAACGAATGTGAATACAGATATACGAGACGAATGTTATAAAAAAAAAACGTAGGGAAAGAGCTTTAGAACTCAAAAACTATACGTAAGAATTAGTTTTAACCCTTTAAAGACTCAAGTCAAAATAAAAGTAACTTTACGACCGATCAGTCTTAGTTCTTAAAGACTAAATTTTATCTAGCTAATATATAGCAATTAGTTCTCACCTCACAGGAAACAGGAGCCGGGATAGCTTAGTCGGCATAGCGACTGGCTATGGGCTGGACGACCAAGGGGTCGGAGTTCGAATCTCGGTAGAGTCAAGAATTTTCTCCATGTCGTCCAGACCGACTCTGGGACCCACCCAGCCTCTATCCAATGAATCCCGGGAGTAAAGCTGTCGGGCGTGAAGCTGACCACCCACCTCCAACTGGTGCCGAGGTCAAGAAAACGTGGGTCTATACATTCACTTCCCCATACAACTTCATGGCGTAGTGCGTAATTAGTTAAGCACAGGGACAATTTTACATTTACATTTTTTTTTCCTTGGCACTACAGCCCCAGTGGGCCTAGGCCTACCTCCGTGAACTTCTCCGCTCACTTCGGTTTTTCTAGATCTTACATATTCGGTAGGACTCCTTGGGCGGGTGATCAGCTCGTCGCAAGGCCTTTACCTATACACAAACACAGAACAACGCACACACACAAACTAAACATCCATGTCCTGAGTGGGATTCGAACCCACGATCCCGGTTTCCAAGCGAGCGAAGACAGTACATGCCTTAGACCGCTAGGCTACGGTGACCGGCACCTTTACATTTACCTCACAGGAAACACAAGACATCTCCGATACGAAGGCCAGCCAGTTAAAAGTTGTTCGGGGAAACAGAAGCTCTTTATGGCGAGGGCCTTTCGAATCACAAATACACTCTGTGGGCAGAATGCAGAGTTTGTTATGTTAAAGTAGGTGGTGTATAAAACCACTGGATTTTAAAGGGTTAATACTATTGTAAATGTTTAACTAGTCCTTGCGATTTTCTGTGCCAGTACCTATTATACGTATCATTAGGAGAGTGAAACAAAGAAGCTAAGATGGTCTGGACCATGTCCACTTAGGATGGAGGCAACAAAGAATACATACAAAATTTTCGCGAATAACATGAGAACGGCCGCTTTGGAGACAGAGAAAACGGTTGGAGGGTATTGTTAAGTTGCGTTCAAAGGAAAGGCATTGTGATTACAGGAAGTATAGATGGATCTGTCTCTGCATCTTGCTTAATTGTGGACTTCAGTGCAGTTCAAAAATTCATGCTCTGCTACCACGTTGTTGATTATCTGTTACAGAGGAGGTGAGTTTCCCAGCTGGGATTGCCCGAAATGTAATGAGGAGCAATGCCCCAAGCCGGAAGAAGATTGCCCCCAGGGTCTAGTGCCCGATATTTGCGGCTGCTGCCTTCATGGGTTGTGTGGACTCGCTGAGGGAGAGAAGTGTTTCAACTCTTCTCTGTCAGCTGTTCTGCCTCCAGAGGCCATTAAGTACGGTCAGTGTGGGTCAAATCTGCACTGTCTTCTGCGACCAGACCTCACTTCCAGGGTAAGTGATTTCCATGCAAAAATATTTAACAAGAATATTCCACTAGCTTACTTATCCTGTAAAATTCGCTTATGGGGGGTGGAGTCCAACTGGGTCCACTCGGCACGGCGGCCACTGATTGGCTTATTGTAGCCTGCTCCGGGTGGTTATGATGATGGAGAATTTGGTGGAATGAAGATTGGCAGGCCGGTCACGGTAGCCGAGCAGTCTAAGGCATGTACTGTCTTCACTCGCTTGGAAACCGGGATCGTGGGTTCGAATCCCACTCAGGGCATGGATGTTTAGTTTGTGTGTGTGCTTTTTTCTGTGTACAGGTAGAGGCCTTGCGACGAACTGATCACCCGCCCAAGGAGTCCTACCGAACGTGTAAGATCTAGAAAAACCGAAGTGAATGGAGAAGTTCATGGAAGTAGGCCTAGGCCCACTCGGGCTGTAGTGCCAAGGAAAAAAAAAAGATTGACAGGGGAAACCGAAGTACTCGGAGAAAACTCGCCCCAGCGCCATTTTGTCGATCACAAATCCCACTTGACCAGACCCTGGATCGAACCCGGTCTGCCGCGGTGGGAAGCCAGCGACTAACCGCTTGAGCTATGGCGCGGCCTCTACGTATTCTGTAAGCAGCCATGGACCAGGTCAGAGATGAATCATCCAAATTAAAGACCGAGAATGAGGGAAGGAAATGGCTTTTCAGAACTAGACAGAGGCTGCAAGTTGGTAGAAGAGTATGGGATACTGATCAGCACGTGCTGTAAAGGAAATTATTACAGCGTAGGTTCGGAAATACGTTTCTACTTGTATCGTTACTGATAACAACAGCAACGACGTCATTTAATTGCTCTCCTTCTTACTTAGTAGCCACACGTTGACGACCACTTTTGACAGCTCTCCCATTTTTGGGTTGAATTGAGTAACCACCGTTGATGAAGCTGCTTCTATCTTCTTCCTTCTGCGCACTCTTGGTCCTTTTGTTGAGCGCCACGTGATCTTAAAACCACGTTGAAATAGTAGGAGTGACGTGGATGGACAAGGGGATGTGTGTGAGCCTGAGGATACAGCTCAGGGCTTAACGGGCCTTTCCTGCTAGTGTAACGATGAACTTAATTTACTGTTGACAACACTACTCGATATTATATAATCAGTCCTGTATGGGTCTATACAGCTTCTCTGGTACACAACTGTACGGTTCACCACTAGTCATGCGCAACAATACACTGGTTACAATGATTACAATCAACACTATTTGCACACACACTGCTCAGCGCTATGCGAAACAGCCTTTAAATACTCTCGAATGAGGCAATGCTTCGAGAATCTCCCACATCGTGATTCTTCTTGAAGCCTCCACACTGTTCTACAGGTTGAAGATGTTATGGAACTCCGTGGTCTGTAGTCCGCAAGCGAACTATACCGACCGAGTAACCGGCGCTTGTCGGCGAAGTTAGTGCCAACTTTAGCGCATAGAGAGTGTCGCGTGGTCAGCGCAACGGATCCCCACGGCTGTTAATCTCGGGTTTCTAGACCGGAGCCGATATTTCCTTGAAATAGCTCCTCAACTATCCTCGCGAGGCTGAGTGAACCCCCTTCCAGACCCACTACTTGTCAGAAAATCTGGTAGTGCCGGGAATCGAACCCAGGACCTCTGGATCTGTAGCAGGAACTCTGACCGCTAGACCACAGGTGGTCCAAAATTTTACGGAAGTCCCTTGTACTGCGGCCACTTCTGGCCCATTGTACCAGCCCCAGATGATAGGTGAAGGTGATTGTCTCAAGCAGCAGGAGAGAAGCGCAAGACAACTCGTCTGTTCCCATTGGCTCGCTCACAGAACAGATGAACGAATGTTTCTTCACTATTGTTTACAGCGAAGTTCAATGAGTACGGTTTGCTTACAAAGTGCTGTGAGTTATAACGGGAGACCAAACGCTGAATGCGTCATCAGAAGCGGGTGCCATTCAACTGTTGTACGAGTTCATTGGTACTGCGATATCCTGCAAAATTTATGTTGTCTCTGCTTTTATTTTTTTCTACCCAGCCCATCGAATCTGTGAATCAGATCCGGAAATGTAATTTTAGAGTTGATGTTATAATGTTGTATTCATTCATATCCTGTTCACAGTTTCTCTTCACCGCACATCACAGTCAAGAGTTATAATGCGGAAAGTTCTGAGTTTGCATCTAGGCCCGGAGACGGACTGTTCTGACAGGTTTTTTTCGTGTCTCTCCCCCAAGAAAGATCTAGTGAACGGAGAAGTTCATGGAGGTAGGCCTAGGCCCACTGGGGCTGTAGTGCCAAGGGGGAAAAAAAAGATTGGCAGGGGAAATCGAAGTACTCGGAGAAAACTCGCTCCAGCGCGTCCACCATAAATCCCACTTGACCAGACCCGGGATCGAACCCGGGCCGCCGCGGTGGGAAGCCAGCGACTAACCGCTTGAGCTATGGCGCGGCCCTTTGTGCATGTGTTTGTTCCGTGTTTGTGTTGCCCTGTGTTTAGGTAGCGGCCTTGCGACGAGCTGAGCACTCTTCCAAGGAGTCCTACCGTGTGTAAAATGATCATGAAACTGAAAATATCAGAGGTCAGGGCTAAAAAAAAAAGAGCCTGCTAAAGGCATCAAGAATTACACCTCCCAAGATACCAATAAGTTATATTGAATATTCATCTTATGCAGCGCTTTCTTGGTGATGTCGTCGTTCTGTATTCAGATTATCGAGTCGAATGTTCTGCCAGCGAGTTTTCTGAAGCTGAGATATGAACATTCTTGAACTTTTGACCCGCCTCCCTAAGTTATCTGCTAACACAATGACCTAATGGTTTTATGAAACTGCTGTTTTGTAGATCTGTCTCTGCAGTATTTCACACTATTGGATATTCTGTTACATGTTGATGTTTATGAAGGACCCTTCACCGTTACGCTTCATATGAAGCTCATTGCAACTTCCTGCAAATAGCATGTACTCAGGTCAAGGAAATGTTCAATTGAAATGTAAGTGTGAACAGAGGAAGATAATTCAGTATAAGCTTCCTGACAACCTCTTTCCAATTATGCGTGAACTGCTAAACATAGCCTCCATTTGTGTTCTTTCTTTCTTCCTCCCTCCCCAACCCCAATTTCGCAGGTCTGTGTGTGTAAAGTTATCTCTGTGCTTAATTAATTAAGCACTATGAAGGTATAGCTCCACCATTCTTGACCTCCGGGGAAATTGTTCCCGGTACCCATTGAATAGCTAGGGCAGGCCCCAGAGCTGGTCTGGATGTTATGGAGAAGAGAAATATTTTGTTCCTGCCGAGATTTGAACCTCGGCCACCCAGCATGTAGCCCGTCGCTATACCGACTGAGCTACCCAGGCTCGTGTATGGAAGGAAAAGTGCCTGCATTCATAGTCCATTTGAAGGTTTAGAAAATAAAAATAATATATGGGATGTAACTTATAGTTTAGCCGGTCACGGTAGCCGAGCGGTCTAAGGCATACACTGTCTTCGCTCGCTTGGAAGCCGGGATCGTGGGCTCGAATCCCACTCAGGGCATGGATGTTTGTGTGCGTTTTTCTGTGTTTGTCTACAGGTAGAGGCCTTGCGACGAGCTGATCACTCGCCCAAGGAGTCCTACCGAATGTTTTAGATCTAGTAAACCGAAGTGAAACGGAGAGTTTCATGGAGGTAGGCATAGGCCCAAATTGGGGCTGTAGCGCCACAGAAAAAAAAAAAACTTATACTTTAAACGTTTAGCTGGAAAGAGAAACATGCCTGTGATCTTATGGAGGAACTGTACCTCCACTTCTCCATACTTCTTCATGTCGTGGCACTTAATTACGCCAAGCAATTTTAAACATATATATTGATTATTGTTTTTATTGTTAAGGATAAGTTCCAATCGCGGGCTCTTGCGAACACTGCAATGGGCCTACCAGTTCCCATAACAGACGGGCATTACTTGATTAGCTGAGCTACCGTTAGCTTCTCAAGATGAACTCTGCTCCATGAATTAAAAAAAATATTTAGTTATTTTTATTAACTGTTTTTAAATTAAATCTAGAGGCGGCTAACTATTTTTCATTATACATAGTGATGCAATATTAAGGGAAAGTACTGCGGCTGCGGGTTGAGAACCCTTGTCCTAAAGAAACAAGACAACCGGATTTTTTGCGCCCTCGCATGCAGCGAAATGTTCTCTTGTATAAGAAACGGATGTTGCTTGTGTGAATGACTTTGGTGCATGCTGCCTCTGTATTGCATCGGACGGATTACAGGCGCCATGTTCATTCCTGTTGTTGAAGAAAATTATTGTAAGTTAAAGGTAAAGTTGGCCTTGTGCCTAACGAATTGAACACTACCCCATGAAGGCTTATGGGGGAGTGGATATATAGAATCACATTTTATTTCCCTCGGCACTAGTTGGAGGTGAGTGGTCAGCTTCACGTCCCGGCTACTTTATCCCCAGAAAAAGAACCCCTGGTAACTCTTGCAGAGGAGGTTGGGTGGAACCCAGAACCGGCCTAGACGACGTGGAAAAGAATATTTGTGACCCTACCGGAACTCGAACTCCGACTCCTTGGTCGTCCAGCCCATAGCCAGTCGCTAAACCGACTGCGTTATCCTGGCTCCTCACGTCCAGCCCATAGCCAGTCGCTAAACCGACTGCGTTATCCTGGCTCCTCACGTCCAGCCCATAGCCAGTCGCTAAACCGACTGCGTTATCCTGGCTCCTCAGAAAATGATAGTACTTATTCAAAAAATAATAATTTTAGTAATTTCGCTAAAAACAACGACTAAATTGAAAAGAAACGAATGCTTATACAGTTCAAGATGCAAGTGTGATATTGCAGAATATGCTTTACATGCTAATGGGATTTAGCAAGCGAAAGGCAAATGAAGATCACCAGTTCAGTTTATTTCAGAGGGGTATACATCATTTAAATTACTTAGATAACACAGAGACATAAATTACGTATATATTTGTCTCACGAAGAGTCTGCATCTGCAATAAATGAGGTGTGCAATGAAAA